GTTGGGTCGGGTGGGTCGCTGCCAAGTGCCGCGCGGGCTGCCGCTCGTCCTCGGCGACGTGGGCGCCGGGCTTGCGGCCATCGAGAGCTACATTGGGCGCCTGGTGGCGGCGGAGCAGTCCATCTTCGGCAGCCAGGGTCAGAACGACTCCATGCGCGTTCTCGCTGCCGCCATGTGTTCCTGCTTCGACTGGGACCGCCTGGTGTCGACTGTGCCCACGGCCCACGACATCCGTCAGTTCGGCGTGCTCGCCCACGGTCTGCTGCCGCTCCTGCGCCACGCGCTCTGGCCGGCTGAGGGGGAATTCCCTGGGGTGGCGGGGGCCGTGCCAAGGCAGGATCGAGGGGGTTGGACCGTCTCGGTGCCTTCTTGGACCGTCTTTTGGGGCCTCTATGGCTGGCCGTCTGCGGGGTCTCTGGGGGCCATCTTGGGCCGTCCGGGGGTTCTCTCGGACCGTCTGGGGTTTCCCTGGGCTTTCTCGGGGCTCTCTTTCGGCTTCTGTAGCTTTTTGCGCGTCGCTTCAACTCTCATGCCGCCCCGGCCCTATCACCCGAAAAGGAATGTGCCCGAAAATATGTTGTGCCCGAAGTTGTGCCCGAAAGCATAGCGTGCCCGAAGTTGTGCCCGAAGTTGCGCCCGAAAGCGTAGTGTGACCGAAGTTGTGCCCGAAGTTGGCGTTGTATTCATTTTCAACAGTGAACACGGTGTGACCGAAGAGCGAGCGCCCGCATTTTCGGTCACAACGACGGGCGGGACCACGGGGGGGTCGGCAAGCTCGCCGAAATTTTCGGGCACCGTTTTCGGTCGCATCGGGCGCATTTTCGGGCACAACTTCGGGCACCACACACCCCTGATAGAGGCGAGGCTACATGACATCCCCCTCCCTCAGGCGGCGCGCGCCTGGCCCGCCGTGCCGGCCTTGCAGACGCAGTACGTCCTGCTCATGCGGAGAGTGCGGACACGGGCAGGCCGGCCCGGGTCCGGGTGGCGACGCGTGACCGGCTTCGTCGTCGAGCCCGTCCGCTGCTATCCGTCCGTGCAGCGCTTCGTGTACCTCTGGGCCCAGTCCCGCGGACCTCCGCCTGGGGGCCCTCGCCTCGCGTCCGCGACGCTCATGTGGATTGCGTCGAAAGTGATTGGTTTCCTGGGTAACGCGTTGGTGCCGAGGCCGGAGCAGCCAGCCGCCCCGTGGGAGCCAAGCAAGCGTTTCGCCGAGTCCTCGAAGGCATTGGTACCGATCGGCAGGCGACGCCCCGGGCCCCGGGGCAGTCGTACCAGCCCCGGCGGCTTGGCCCACGCGCTGATCCCAGGGCGGAGGGGCGGCATCGTGCACGTCGAGTCCGCGCTGCACGAGATCGACGGATCCGCGGTCAGCGCCGCTCTGGACTCTGATCCATACTTCGCAACTGGCGGCCGCGCGGCGGCGGACGCGAGCCAGGTAGGCAGCGCCAACGCCTGGCACGCGGTGCGAATTCACCACCACTGCAGGACCATGGGCTCGGCGGGAGCTCCCTGCGAGCGAGTGGGCAGCCTAATGTCCGCGAGGTGGTCGAAGGGCCGCGGCCACAATCCGGGTGCCCTGATGGGCGAGGTCATGCTGCACGACGCGAAGGTCACCGTCGTCGGGGGCGCCCGGGACGAAATGATTGTGGAGGAAGTGTCGGATGCCTTGCTTGCGCTTGGAAAGCGGCCGCTGGCGAAGCCCCGGGCGGCGAAGCGCCGCCGGGCCGAGGGGGCGGTGGACTCGCGGCCGATCGACCGGGCGCGGGCCGAGGCAGAGGACGCGTTGGCAGCCTCTGGCCGGCGCTTCCACAATCCCGACATATTCAGCAGTGACGAGGATTCTGGGCCGGGCGAAATGGAGATAACCCGCGGGTTGGCGTTGGGCGCAGAGGGCGCGGCGCCGCCCGCGCCAGCATGGGCTGCCCCGTTCAGCCAGCCCAACGATGTCGCGGAAGGGAGGAGGGCGCGCCAGGCGGCAGCTCGGCCAGCCATGCAGCTGCCACCGGCCGTACTGGAGGAGATGCGGCGGGCAACGCCCGACGGACGCGTGCAGCAACTTCCGCTGTTTGTCCAGGACCCCCGCGTGGCGGCGCGACCCCGCGCTGGTTCTGCAGTGCGCGCCTCCTTGGCGCAGTGGCTGGACAGCGCGGAGGGCCGGCGATGGCAAATTGAGCGGCAGGAGCGGTACGATTGCGCGGCGTAGAGAAATCGTGCGGCAAGACAACGGGGAGGAGGGGGAGAAGCAGCCCTCCTTCCTCCTCCCTTTCAACCCGCTATTTCCCTTCCCTCTTCCTCCTCACTCCCCTTTGCCATCTCCTCCTCCGCCTTCCCCCCCCCTTCTTCCTTCTACCGCTCTCTCCTCCTCCCGTCTCCTCCTTCCTCTTCCTTCCTCTTCCCCCCCCTCCTACGTCCTCGTCCTCATCACTGCCTGTTCCCACCCCCTCGCCAGGCACCTCGAGAGAGCCCGGACGGCCGCCCTGCAAGGATTCTGGTTCAACTTCTAATCGTCCCCTCCCTTGGTCGATCCAAGGGGCGGTGGGCGTGGAGGCGTTTTCCCCCGCCGCCGTCGCCGTCGTCGCCGTCGTCGTCGTCGTCGCCGTCGTCGTCGTCGTCGTCGTCGTCGTCGTCGTCGTCGTCGTCGTCGTCGTCGTCGTCGTCGTCGTCGTCGTCGTCAGGACGAAAATCCTGTCATAGGGCTTAGGGTCCAGACCCCCAGGGGTCGACGTTGCGCAAAAATTGCGACATCGGGGGCGAGGGGAGGAGGAGGGAGGAGGAGGGAGGAGGGAGGAGGAGGAGGAGGAGGAGGAGGAGGAGGAGGAGGAGGAGGAGGAGGAGCCCCTTCTTTGCCGGGCGATCCTGCTGTGGTGGCTGCGCGCCGCCGGCGGTGGCCAGGGGCTTCCCGCGTACGTGTGGGTCGTCGAGGACTCGCCGCCGCCGCCGCCGGCCGCCGCGCGCCGCCGCCGCCGCCGCCGCCGCCGCCGCCGCCGCCGCCGTCGTCGTCGTCGTCGTCGTCGTCGTCGTCGTCGTCGTCGTCGTCGTCGTCGTCGTCGTCGTCGTCGTCGTCGTCGTCGTCGTCGTCGTCGTCGTCCACTCCGCCAGGGCGGGGTTGGGCACAGCCTGGGAGCGCAGGGGCCCGTGCTGTCAGCGCAATCCGGCGCGCGCCCCGAGCGCACCGGTCGCGCCGGGTCGGCGGGGCATTCCGAGGCCGTCTGGGACCGTTTGGGGTTGTTCCTGGGCCGTCTTGGGGCTCCCGCGGGGCCTTCGCGGTCGTTCTTGGGCCGCCGGGGGCTTCCCGGGGCAATCTTGGGTGGCGGTTCTGGACCAGAACGGGGGGGGGGGGGGCGATCCCGGGGGTCGCGGTTCTGGACCAGAACGGAGCGGGCATGGAGTAGAACGGCGGGGTTCTGCTTCCAGGGGCGGCGGTTTTGGAATAGACGGGGGCGCTCTTATGTTTTTTTCGGGCGGCGCTGGGCGTTGTTTCGGGACCGTCCTCGGCCGTTTCGGGGGCCTCGTGGACAGCCTCCGTCTGGGCAGCCTCGTGGACAGCCTTCAAAATCACCCCGGCCCATTTGGAGGCCACCCTCGGCCGTCTTCGGGCGCTGGTTTGGCCTCCCTGACCGTCTTGGAAGCCACCTGGGAGCTGCGGAGTCGTGACTGGGACTTTCGACGACTTCGACGACTTCGACGACGGCAACGACGACGACGACGACGACGACGACGACGACGACGACGACGACGACGACGACGACGACGACGACGACGACGACGACGACGACGACGACGACGGCGGCGGCGGCGGCGGCGGCGGCGGCGGCGGGGACAGGCAATTTTCGACGCTCCAGGCCCACGGGGGCCGCTTGTCGTCGTGGTCGCCGTCGACGTCGCTGTCGTCGTCGTCGTCGTTGCCGCCGCTGTCGCCGTCGCCGTCGCCGTCGCTCTCGCCGCCGCGGCCGCCGCCGCCGCCGTCGCCGTCGCCGTCGCCGTCGCCGTCGCCGTCGCCGTCGCCGTCGCCGTCGCCGCCGTCGCCGTCACCGTCGCCGTCGACGCGAACCGCCGTCGCCTGGGCCGTCGCCGCCCCAGCTTCGGCGGCGGAAAACTGCCCGAGGCAGGGGTGCGAGGCACCAGGGGACCTCTGCCGGAGAGGCGGGCGGGCGGGCGAGCTGGTCGGTGCAACCCGTGCTCCCGGGCAGGGCAATCCAGGGCAATCCAGGGCCTCCTCTTGGTTCCTTCTCCCCCTTTCTCCTCCTCACCCCTCCCGTTTCCTCTTCCCTCCTCTTCCTTCCTCCCGCCCCCTCCTCCTCCTCCTCCTCCTCCTTCTCCTCTTCTTCCTCCTTGCTCCTATCCCCCCCCCTCCTACTCTTCCGTTTTCGGTGGTCCCGGGGGCCCGAGTACGGCCCGAGCTGGGCTTAGGCGGTCCCGGGTCCCAAGGCAGGGTTTACGGTTTAGGGCTCAGGTGTTTCGAGGCCACGCTGGGCGGCGGCGCTGGGGGGCCAGGCTGGGAGGCCACACTTGAAGGCCCCGCTTGGGGCCCACGCTCGGAGGCCCCGCTCGGAGGCCGCGCTGGGGGGCCACGCCGGGGGGCCCCGCTGGGAGGCCGCGCCTGGAGGCCGCACTTGAAGGCCCCGCTTGGGGCCCACGCTCGGAGGCCCCGCTCGGAGGCCGTGACTTGTCGAGCGCCCTCCGCACTGGCTGCCCCTGCAGCGGAAAAATCAGCCATGAGGAGGAGAGATCGGAGGAGGAGCCTGACAAGGAAGAGGTGGAAGGGGGAGGAAGGGCAGACGGAGGACAATCAGTAGTCCCCGAACAAGCGCTTGCGGCACAGGGTTCTCGCTTCCACCGCTGCAACGGCAGAAAAATCAACCATGAGGAGGGAGGGGCGGCGGAGGAGCCGGACGAGGAAGACGGGGAGGGGGGAGGAAGGGCAGGCGGAAGAAAAGTAGCAGTAGTCCCCGAACAAGTGCTTGCACCACAGGGTTCTTGCTTGGGACCATCAGGCCATGGGTGCCAGCTTGCGTCCCCCGTGGCGCCCTGTGCCGCCCGTGCCGCCACGTGCCGCCCGCGCTGCCCCGTCGCCGCCCGTCCCGCCCGTGCCGCCGCGCGCCGCCGGCGCCGCCCGTCGCTTGCTTCAATGGCCTCGAAACCCCCAAGGACGGAGCCCCCCGAGGAGCCCCCTTCGAGGCCAACATTCATCAAAAGGCTGGGGCGTTCCAGTGTGTTTGGTATTCTCGCCCAAGTGCCCCCGAGGATCGTTTGAGACGCCGAGATGGCCCCGAGATGGCCCAAGAGAGGTCCGGGGGGGGGGGGGCCCAAAACGACCCCAAGAGCGCCCCAATAGCACCAGTCCAAGCCATTTGGCCTTCAGCCTGCGACGCTCCAGCCAGCCTGCGGCGCTCCAGCGGGCAACCCGTCCCCAGACGGCCCCACGCCGCCGAAGGGGCCGCAGACCCGCCTTCCGAAGGTCGCGAAGGATGGCGCCCTGATCAAACTGGAGGACATCTGCGTGGGCGAGGAGAGCGGGTGGAGACCCGCCGACTTGGAGAGGGTCAACGAGCTGAAGGAGGTTTTCTTGACTGGGCAGTATGGGATAGGGCTGTTGAAGGCCCCGAGTGTGATTCAGCAGGACGGGCAAGCGAAGACGGGGAGCGACGGGCGCCAGCTCCTCTCGGACGGCAAGAGCACGATTCTGGCGATGACGGCCGTGAAAGCCATTCACGCCAGCGGGGAAGGCGCCAACTACGAGTGGAGCGGTGCTCTCCTCGATGCTTTCGAGAATGGCATCAAGGTGAGTGTGTTGGAATACCCGGAGGACGATCACGACCTAGTGGTCGCGCACAATGCCCTGACGCACGACACGGATTCGAATCGGTACAGGAGCACCACGGTGAAGGACATGGCGGACGTGGCGAACAGATTCCGCAACAAGGTCCCGGGGGGGGATTGGAACGCGGCTCAGGAGAGCCTCTTGCAGGTGTACGGGAAGAGCAAGCGCGCGTTCGTGTGGCGCATGGTCTGCGTCGCTCAGACTATGAAACCGCCCGTTCTCCAGAAAGTAGTGGATGTTCGCATGCCGAACAATTGCGTCTGGGACAACCCGTACTTCACGGGGCACGGGGCGCAGGCCGACAAGCGGCTCTCGGAAGCGGCGATGCTCGCCGTTCTCACCTGGTACGAGGACGACACCGTTGGCCAGAAGGGCATGTCGAGCAAAGTGTTCGAGCAGGAATACTGCGCCGTCTTCAGGCAGTGCGAGCGCTGGTTCAGGACGGTGAAGAAGGAGTTCGGCAAGCACTTCGAACATCCAGGGGTCGCCCGCACGCGCGAGTTCCTCTTCTCCGGGCGCGTCAGGGTGGCGGCGCTCGGGTGCATCCGCGCCGCGGTGAGGTTGGAGGGCGCGTCGGAGGAGAAGCCGGGCATCCCGCAGTGCCGCGCGCTGTGGGCGGAGCTGGAGGCGCTGAAGAAGGGCCCGGAGACTGCGCCGAAGGCCGGAGCGCCAGCTGCTCACGCCGCGGCCGGCGACGCGGCGGCTAGCCAGGGCCCCGCGGGCGCCGACGACGCGGACGCGGACGCCGACGCGGGCGCGGCCTCCATCGGGGTCGGGATGGAGGTCGAGGAGGATCGGGACCCCGCAGAGGAGGCCGCGTCCATCCTGGCGGGGGCCTTTCTCGACGCCGTGCACGTCTACGAGAATGAGCAGGCCATGAAGGAGAATCTGCGGAACCTCGTCGGCCCCTCGTCCAAGATCGTAGTCCTGGTAGATGCTTGCACCAGCAAGGCGAAAATCCCTTTGGCGTTGCTTGAGCAAGTCGCCTCCGTGGTGAAGGATGTGCCGACCACGAAGATCAGAGTGTTGACGACAGCCGCAGGGAGGCTCGAGCTCCTGGTCGCCTGCTCGAATAAAGCCGCCGCGATTTTCCCCGAGGGCAACCAATTCACAGTTCAGCTGGTCCGCAGCTCCCGGCAGACCGGCTCGGGGCGAGGCGCCAAACGGCCGCAGCACGTGCAGTTGCTGATGCTGGGGTCGCCGGCGCAGCCCACCGCCCCATGCCAGCTGGACGTATCTCGGTGCTTGGCCAAGGCGGCCGAGTGCTGTCACATGCGCTGCCGGGACGAGACCTGCCCCCTGCGCTCCGTGGAGGAGCAGGCTGCCCTCGCGGCGCTGGTCGCCGCCAAGGACCCGCGCGCGTCCGACCCCAGCCGGGAGATTCCCGAGGACGACAAGGCGGGTGACGCAGAGGACGCCGAGGTGGCGGACGACGAGGGCGGGGGCGGGCTGGGAAAGACCTCGCATGCGTCGTCGCTCTCCCGTCGGGGCCTCGAGGATGCGGCCTTGCAAGTCAGGCCCCGTGGGGCCGCGCCACTCCGCGCCACATCGTCGAGGCCCTGATCCCGGGTGGTCGGGCGCCGACGGGGCGCTCAACCACGGCGTTCTGCTCCAGAACGGGTGCGTTCTACGCCAGAGCGTGATGGCATAGCATAGCACGGCAGCGGCATGGCAGCATCATGGCAGCGGCATGGCAGCAGGGAAGCAACGGCGTGGCACCGGCACGGCAACGGCGTGGCAACACCATGGCGGCATCATGGCAGCATCATGGCCATGCCATGGAAACAGCATGGCAACGGCATTGCAAAAGCATGGCAACAGCATGGCAGCGGCGTGGCAACGGCATGCCCACCAGCCCATCCAAAAACGACGCCCAGGCGACCTGAGATGATCAGGTAAGTGTAGAAGCAAAGAGGGGGGCAGTCCTTGTTGTGCGAAGATGGAGGCCGACATATGAGGGAGGAGGGACAATAATAAGGAACATACCAGGAGGAGGAAGAGGAGCAGCATGGCAATATCACGGCAACTGCATTCTCACTGGCCGCGGCATGACAACGCCGTGGCAGCGGCGGGGCAAACGCATTGCAATGCCACGGACTCTGCAAGGCAATAACGTGGCTCCCCAATCGGGTGTTAGAGGCCGTCTCCCCACGAGGGATTTCCGCCCCCCCAGGACGACGGGGGCGCCCCGATCGCGGCCCAGGGGGCGCCGAAGGCAGGCGCCCGCGGCTTGGCGACGGAGCTCTGGCCTTTCGCCTACGGGCGAGCTTACTACAAAACGCTGCTGACGGTCCTGGGCGAGGCTGAGGCGTCGCCGCACCTGATCCTCCTGACCACCTCCGCGCGCCCTGCGCCCGTCCTCGCGGCAGGGGACCTGCAGATGACATCGCACGTGCTTTACAGCACTGTGGGGCAACACAGCCGCGCTCACGGCCGCGACGTGCTGCAAGCCATCCTGGAGAGAGAGTTCTTGATGAAGGAGAAAGCCAAGCTGGACCCGAGCAAGAAGCGCCTGCGGGACGAGGATCGGCGATATGCAGAAGCGAGGTCGAAGCAGAGCTGGGGTCTTGAGAGACGTCTGCACGGGCTGCCCGGGGTAGAGGGAACTGCCATCCGCTAGCGGTAATGGCCCGTAGCCCCCCGACCCCCATTTGAGCTTGCCCTTGTCTGCGCACCCCCGAGAGGACTTGTCCTTCGTAATCGTCGACGCGCCGCCCAGCCAGACGCTGTGCTTCGACGAGGTCGGGAAGACCGGGTCGACGCCAGGGTGGCGAGCAGGGATCGACCTCACCCCAGACGAGACCATTCTGGAAAAAAGCTTGGCTGAACTGACGAGCCGCCAGCTGGAGAGTAAGAGCCTCGCCGCGTCGGAGAAGGCCGGCGTGCGTCACCTCGTGCCGCGGAAGCACCTGCGCGAAGGGGACGTCATCACGGACGCGCCCTGCTTGGTGTACTCGACCATCCCCAGCCTGCTGTATTTTCTCAATCAGGGCGGCAATTCCGCTCTCGTCGCAGGCCCCCTGATCCAGATCGACGGCGTCTTGAAGCCCGACGGCGCGCCGAAGAGCCTCTACTGCGTCCTGCTCGGCGCGGCCCAGTTGGCAGCCGATTACCGCGGAGTGCGGAAGCAACCGAATTGCACCATCGAGGCGCGCCCCGAATTGGGCCCCAACGATGGCCTGCTGCAGCTCGTGGTGAAAACTCATAACGGCTGCGGAGTTGCCGAGGGGACCCCCATCGTGATCGACTGCGGCCCGAACTACGCGCCCTGCACGGCGCCCGCGACGAGCCCGACGAAGCGCTTCAGGGGGGCCCTCGACGTCATCTGGGACAAGCACCGGGCAGCCCAGGGGGGCCCTTCCCAGGCCAGCCCCGCTCCAGAGCTGCAGAGCGCGCCGGCGCCAGCGGCGGCGGCGTCGGCGCCGGGGGCGCCGGCGGCGCCAGCGGCGGCGGCGGCGGCGCCGGCGGCAGTGGCGCCGGCGGCGCCGGGGGCGGCGCGGCGGCGGCGCCGGGGGCGCTGGCGGCGGCGCCCGCGCCGCCGGCGGCGGCGGCGGCGGCGCCAGGGGCGCCGGGGGCGCCGGCGGCGGCGGCGGCGGCGGAGACGACCGCCGCAGCCTTGCCATCCTTGCAGCCTGGGGAGCAGCGGCTGGGCACGACCAGCTTGGTCGACATCTTCCTGACAGCGGCTTCAACCTTGCAGCTGCGTCTTCTCGGCAGCCAGAACAAGAAGATTCCCAGGGAACACCGTGCTGCACTCCTTTGAGGGCGGGCGCGTCGACCCGAAGACCTCGGTCAGTGCGCCGAGTTTCCCTTGGGAATTCAAGGCGGGGCAGGAGCTCGTGGCCACGCGCAAGGGCGACGCCATGAAGCTCACGAAGCTTCTCACATACATCGAAGACAACAAGTGCTCGGCGGTGTTCGGGCACAGCCATTTCTCGGAGGGCGCGTGCCCTCCCGAGCTGGTTCTGAAGAAAGCCCTTGTCTTCGCCGCCGCGTCCAGCTCCGCGTCCAGCACCTTCCAGAGTGTGCACGCGGCTCTCGCGGGGTCCGCCAACGCCCACCTCGTGTGGGAGATCACTCACAGAGAGGGGAAGGTCTGGCCGAAGTCCTTGGTCATCATGACCAAGAAACAGCTGAGTCTGAAAGCCGGCGAGAATTTCCAGCTCTGAACGGCGGCGAGCTAGGCTAGTAGGAGGAGGAGGAGGAGGAGGAGGAGGAGGAGGAGGAGGAGGAGGAGGAGGAGGAGGAGGAGGAGGAGGAAGAGGGGGGGAGGAACTGGAGAAGGAACCGGAGCAGGAGGAGGAGCAGCGAGGAGCGGGAGGGAGGAGCTCCGAAATTGCGGATAAGAGCTATGGGAGCGGGTGGGCCAGCGCTGCTCCCGCGACCCCCCCCTTTCGCGACTCGCTCGCCACTCGTCGCCTTCGCGACCCACCCGCCCCCCCTCCATCCCCCCTTTCGGAGAGAAGGGGCCCGTGCTCGCAACACCTGTCACGAGGACGAGCCCGCTCTCCCCAAACGCGGCGACGCCGCGGATTGCCCGCGGAGACGGATGGGTCAAGAGACGGCCCAGGCGGCTCCCATCCCCCCCCCCCGCACACGAGTTTTTATGCTGCACCGTCCGAGCGCGCCCCCCGTGCGCTCGGACCCCCCCGAGGACCCCCAGAATGTCATCTTGGGCTCCAATTCCCGCGGCCCTTTTGGAGAGCACGGGCACTGGGGTCCCCCGATCCATTCGAGAACCGATCAGTTCTTCTCCAGAACCGCTACCCCGGTGAGTCGGACCACCCCTGTTCGACTCCAGACCCGCTCGCCTTATCCCAGAGCCGCTGGTTTTCGGAGTCGGACCCCCCCCGTTCCACTCCAGAACCGATTGGTTCTGGCCCAGGCCGCTGCCCTGGGAGTCGAACCATTTGAGTTCTGGCCCAGAACCGGGGCCGCTGGGATCGCCCGCCCCCCGTTCTGGTCCAGAACCGCGGCCCGTGGGATCGCCTCTCCCCGTTCTGGTCCAGAACCGCCGCCCAAGATGGCCCCAAGAAGCCCCAGGCGGCCCAAGAACGACCCGTTTTATTTCAGAACCGCTGCCCCCACCACTCGCCCCGCGACAAACCCGCGCCGCGACCCGCCCGCGACCCTCGCGACCCGCAACCCGCCGGCGCGCGCGGGCCCACCCACGACGCGGCCCCCCCGCGACCCACCCGCCACGCGACCCACCCGCAACCATTCCGTGCCGCGACCAAGCCGCGAGGGCGAGGACGACGACAACGACAAAGACGCAACAACGAAACAACAATACTGAGCAGAGCCCTCGACGCGGATCCCCGCTTCAGCAGCGCACAAAGGAGGGGCAGTGAATGACCGTTCGGCCCCGGGAGAGAGAGGAGAGAGAGAGAGAGAGA